TGGCGATGAGGGTGCGCGTGCGCAGAGCCGCCGCAGGGCGCAGAGCTTGCCGGGAAGGAGGGGGGGGACCGCGCCATCCCCAGGTGGCGGGGGCGTGTGTCGCTCCCACGCTGCGTGGGGAGGTTGCTGTAGGACGGGAGGGCTGAACACCACGTCCATGTGCCTGCCGGCCTTTCTCCCGCCCCAGGCTTACTCCCCGCGATCTCTCCTGGGGGCTGCTGAGGCCCTGAGAAGAGCTGCCTGACCTCCACGCCCGAGTTTATTTCCATTAAAATACCCACATATGCTTTACTATTACCTTTACTATCAATTTAGTATGACCAGCTAAGGTGAGCTCTTCAGACACACAGGCAGAACTAAAAATCCATCACGCAGCACCCAAGGAGCTGTTTGAATCCAATGAGAGCATCCACAAAAGTGGAGACTCGTGACCCCAGGCAGAGCCAAAATTTTTATGACAAAGCTGCTCTGCCCCTGGAAGACAGGGAGAAAGCTGGACTCAGGCAAACTGCCGAGACAGGTGCTTGTTCTCCACACCAAAGCGAAACAGCATAAATGCCTCCAAGGGTTTAAAAAAAAAAACCCCAAAAACAATACACAAACCAAAGGAGACGCAGCATATTGGGAAGACAGACACTGGGGAGTGAGCTCTTGACTAACGTACAGGGAGCAGCTCCAGGGGACCTAAGAGGGGACGATGGTCCCACAGGTACAGCTCTCACCAGTGGCCGCCATCCTCCCTCACTTGTTGCCACCGCTCTGGAGGTTTAGAGCTGCTGTCTCCTGCCCGGTGGAGCAGCCCAGCTCCAGTTCTTGGCGAGACAGCAAGGAATGCAGCATACGCTACGGGTGCTCAAAATCATGACCGCTTTAAATGCGGATCTTAGTTTACATTCCATTTTAACTTCCCTTTGTCGTACAAGGAACAATACAAAGCAATAAAGACACTAGGGATTAACATGATGCTGAACTGCACTGTCTAACAAGTGCCATGATGACATCTAGGTGATATTTTTGAAAGTTTTACAGCATCACATCTTACATCACTTCTCACCATCATGAATAATGCGTGGGCCTGATGACAATCACTATTTGTATACAGCAAGATTTGCTAATGGATGACTTGCAGTTTAGACAAATTGCTGTTCACAGAAAGCCACTAAGCACTGCATTTGAAGAAATGCAAACATGGCAATCTTTTCACTTGCACACTCACACTGCCTCAGATACAAAAGGTTGCTCTCAGGCCCCTTTCTTAGTGCTTCCCCTGCCTCCCCCTTGCTTTTTGGTATGTCTTTTTGCCATTTGCCAGCAATTCATGCAAAGGTCTGACCCTTTTTCCTCTATCTTCTCCTTTGTTAGCTCCATTAAAGTAGTCTTTCACAGGATGTCTGGCCTTTCATCAATCCACAGCCTCTCCAAATCCAAACAATTACTTTTGAAATACATCAGAAAATCCAGCCTTAAGTTTCCGGCTTTGCAGGCTGCTTAGAGTGGAGAAAAAAAGAACAAAAACAATTACAAGGATGACATCAACAGCAAATGCTGGATTTGGTTTCTGTGCTATCTTTCGCAACTCGACCAAAATCCACTGTTTTCTTCCAGCCTTTGACAGATGCCACAAGTATGCACTGTAGGTGGGACCTTTTCTGTGCTGACCTGCCTCGTTTGGAAGCCATCCAAAATTGCCACTACTTATCTGTGTTTCATGCACACCTCATTTTGGATTCCTGACAAAGCTCCTCTATGTTCTGTTAACATGACCAAGCGCTCACCATATTGCTTGATTAGAGCTCTCCCTCCACCTGGAATGTGCCAAAATAGACCTGCCATGTCTTCCCACAGATGTCCCTTATTGTGAGGCCCCTGGGAGCAGAGGCAGCAGAACACCACAAGTTCTAGCTTTATTTTTTTTTTCCCCAGCTAACTTGTGATACTAATTTTGAATCCATCAAATTCTCACTAACAGCAGAACCTCTTACATTATACATACAGGGAATGGAATCTGATCTCTAGTGGGACGGCCAGACACCAACAATTTCATCCCTCCATCCATTAGAGAGCGATTCCCAAACATCCATCCTTCATCACGTTGCCTATGAACTATCTCAACTTGTACACATGTCATTAAGGCTCAAGCATTCTCTCTGCCCTCCAGCAGTTAGGCCAAGTCATACAGTTTTCCATTTAAAGAAAAGGCTTACTAAGGATCCTAAGAAATCGTATCATGGTTCTTTTTGTTAAAAGAAGGTCTTAGTAAGATGGTAGTCGCTCTCAAATACTGGAACAAATGAAAATTAAGGCTGTCTTGTGTTATTCTGACTCATCCATCCAGCAGCACTAATCAAGATCCACCTAATTACTCACAGTAGAACAGTAGCTGTGGATACATGAGTTCTTTCAGCTCCAACAGTGCTGAGGAAAGATCTTACCTCCTAAGGCTACTACTCCTTGGTTCTGCTCCTGGAGCCTCTTAGGTGAGGGCACCAAAATGCCATACTTAGCAGTGACCTACTGTGTTCGAAATCTGCAGCCTATCCCACAGTCCTTCATTTTCCTCTACTTCATGGGTGGGGCAATGCTGAGAGAGAATCAGGACTGAGCACCGAGTAAAGCCATTGGAGAAGGCCTGCGTTTTGTTGTTTTACAGATTAGACAATTAATAGCGTGTGAGATATAAACAGCTGCAAAAGAAAAAGGTAACCTTATGGTTACAACAAGGAGCTACTAACAAGAGCTCCATCTTTGTCTAACAATGCCTCAATTTCAGGGTGCTTCACTCAGTACCTCCCCTGCAACAGTTGCATCCATGCAGTACTTCTAGAACAGCAGCTGTCCCACCTGCTAAAAGGAAAGGAGAAGTACAGAACTAGAAGGGCCTGTACAGGTTACCAATCCTTCCGACATGTCTGTCTGTCCAAAGTTGCAAATGTCTCTTAGTGTAGTTTGTTCACAACTGCAACAGGATTTCCATCCTGAAGGGTAGGAATGAAGATTTCATGTAACTTCATAGCACTGGTACAGATTGAGACAAAAACAATAGTTTCCCAAAGCTACCCCACAACAGCAAAGAGTGGGCGCTGACCCAGTTTTATTTAAGTATTTCACTGGCCACATGGATTTATTTATCCTGTATCTCTAACCCACTGAAATGACTATAGCTTGTTTGTGCTTGCTCCAGACCCCTCAATTTCCAGCAGGATTGAAGAAAGCCCGTAATTTTTCTGCCCCCCCATCCTCTCTTTAAAAAGAAAAACTCTTTGTAACACTACTGATTTCTCCCTTTCTGATCACTGCATACACCTGTCGAAAAAGACACTAGCAGCACGTTTCAAGGTTTGGATTTGTCAAATCAGCTGAACACCAAGAGGTTTCATGCCTTCCATCTGTTAAGACAGACAGAAATGCAGCCTGGTTTCCATTAGAGGATGGGTCACAAAGAGCTCTCTCACTGCTGGCTGCAGGGAGCAGCTTATGAACATCTGTTCAGTTGTCTCCTGCACCAAGGAAGAGTTGCATTTCCGCCTGAACAGAGTCCCCTTCCATCCTACCCTTATGCACGCCAGACACACAGCTCAGCTGGTCCACCCCGAGGCCAACTTCACTGACTGAGGTGGCTGATGTGAAGTTATGCAAGTGAGGCCCCAAAGGGAAGTTCAGAAGAGGAAGGAAATGGGGAAATTTCATAAGAAAAGCATCTTAGATTCTCTAAGAAGAAAGCAAGCTCCACTGCAGAGTAAATCAAACCTTTGCTATTCCACACTCCACCTCAGTTTGCAGATGACATTACCTGGACGCTTACTAAACCGGTTTCAGGCAGGTGGTACTGACCCACACTGACTCTACGTACAGAGGAACGAAGCAATTTTCTATGTCGCAACTGCTCTCCTCCCTCCATGCCATCCTTCATGCTTGACAGACATGCTAGACCTACAAATCTGCACCTCCACCTCAAAATCAACAGATTTTCTCAACTGGTCATCAATCCCTCAGGCTAACTGCATATTCATAAAGAGGCCAAGGATAAAAGGTGGAGCACATCGGAGGGGAGACCTGTAGTCTCAGAAGTGAAGCTACAGCTAGTAATCCCTGCTGTTCCCCTTCTGACAGTGAACCACTCGGGCTCATTTTTATAGACCAAAGTAAGCTGTGGACTCTGCATAAGCCTGTAAAAATTCAAAACAAACTCACAATGAAATAGGTAAGGTACCTGTAACCTGTAGACTTTTCTTTCTTTCTGAACATCTGTTTGCTACTCGGGCAACCAATCTGTTTGAAAGTAGCAACTTCACAGCATTAAGAGCTGATATCTGAATCACATTTTATGAAGCAGCAATAGCAGAATTTAATGGGAAGCTGTTTCACTTCGTAATACAATTCACATTGTGAGGTATGACTTTTCCATTATGAAACTATAAAAATATATTCCCAGAGTCTGAATCAATAATTTAAACCGATAATGAAAATAGAATCAGGTGTTATCTAGGAAGACCTGTCCCAGTACTGCAAGTTTAGAGTTAAAGGACTGACTGGGGCAACTCAGGAGGGAGTGTGAATTCTTAGAGTTTCTCTTCTCTCCACCTTTCTCTGGAGAGACATCTTCAGGGTCTTTTGCATTTTCCCCTTTATTGTGGTCTGAAGCTCTTTTTAAAGTGAATTTCTTGCTTTTCTTCATTGAGTAAAATTCCCGCATCAAGTCTTCCACCTCCCACTGCTCTTCCTTATGCTTCCTACAGCAGTGCAGCGCTGCAGGGTCTATAGGATGAGCCTCAGTGTTGAAGACGTATCCTCCAGCATTCAAGACACATTCCCCGTATGGTGTAATCACCACATCAAAGACTGATCCATCATTGTGAATGAAGTTCTCTGGGTCGAATAGCAGGTACAAGTATTTTACCGTTTCAGCCAAAAAGAAGGATTCCATGCGATTATCCAGTCTGTGATCTCTCAAGTCTTTGATCTACAAGATAAGAAATACAGTGGGTTACAGTTATATTGAATTTACTAAGATATGAACTTAGGGGGAAAAGTAAAACCAGCTTGCAACTCATTTCAGTTAAACAGCACAGTATGGCATCAATTCGCCCTGTACTTCAAACAGTTGTATGCAAATTCATCAACAAGGTTTCAGATGTTTGGAATTAGCATAGTCTAGCATAAGGAATGGGAAACTAACAATCAGGAGGAACACACTTCCAACCTGGGTAAGGAGGAGAAGAGCGAGTAAGCTTCCCATCATTTCCCCCACTAAGAAAAGTCATAAGGCTTTTACTTACTTCCCAAATCACAAGGCCTAATTCCCAATATTTATAAGGAGTTTTTTTGTAAAACAGAGCTTAATAGTATGTTTGAAATCTTCTATTAAATTATTTTAGAGAAATCACTCACTGCAGTTCTCTCCTGTTTGATCAGAGTTTTCAAAGCATAGTCGGAAAGCAGCATCACACAACTGGGAGGCAGACAGCCTGCATATGAGCCTTCCTGCTGAGCTGGAACACCTAGTACCTACCAAGATACAGGAGGCAGGAGATGCTTTTGATGCTTTCCCATGTTTTGGGCTCTGGTGCAACAGTCAATGACAGAATTGTCCCACTGGTCAGGCTGTGAGGGAAGTTACTACCAGAAACATGACCAGAGGTTACCAGATCAGCTTCACAAGAGAAATACAAGGGGTTTGCTTGAAAAAGTCCTGTTTCAACCAAAGTGATCACTTGACTCAATGGTAAAGCACCATTCATGAGAACACTTCCTAAAAGCTGATTTTTAGCAGCCATTTAGCTGACTTAGCAGTTGATTTAGCACTTACAGTTGCAAATCCACAGTCCACCTTGCTGATTTTCTCTATTGACTCCACTGCGTCTCTTCCCAGTTCTAAGAGCGTGGGATCTCTTGTAGCACGGTACAGATACATTGCACTCTCAATCAGCTCTGCAAAAAAACCCCAAACATTTGCAAGCATAAAGATTACCCAACCATGTACACAGGGAAGAAGAGATATTCCTTGAACTAATCTAACAATATTACTTTAAGATCATCAGGTAAACAGCCTAGCTTGCCTTGTATTTCCTCTGGCTCAAAGCACAGATACTTGCTTTTACCAAGGATGTGCTACAAAGAAATTTACTCTAACCAGATTGTATCAGCTCAGGTAAGAGTGAATAATGCTCCCTTCCCACATTCAGAGAGTGGGAGGGGAACAAGAGAGAAAAGGATTAAAACTCCTTTGTCAAAGGCAGAGATGCTTCTAGAATTCAATCCCCAAAATATAGCTTTTAAACAGTAGCATAAGCCTCTGAAACAGGGGTATCTAAAACACCATGAAAGCAAGCACCACGGAAATACTCTATATAGGCAACATATGCACTGTGCTGTGTTTACTTACTAAAGAAACAGGTCTTTTTGGATGCTATAACACATTGGAAAGTTAATGCTGATGAGCATTTTTTGTAGAAGGGTCCAATGTGCATGTCACCTGAACACTCAGACCAAAAGGAAATTAATTATTCTCATTTTAAAAGTTTTACTGATATAATAATCAGGTGTGAATTTATTGGGTTTTTTGGTGAGAGTTGTAACAAACAAAAAAGACAGATCATTTCATCAGAGTATCACAGACAATATATAATCCCTCTTGCATGTTAAGCTTTACTAGTGCAACTAGAACTAGTTTATTTCAGGAACTCAACAGAACTAGAGCGGTCTATTCATACTCACTTTCATTTCCTAAATTTAAAGGACACAGGCAGTCACATTAACATTTCGCATAACATTAAAACATCCCATGTCAGACAGTCTAACACTTAAACATGCCAAACCCTACATTGTGAACCCAGTTCATTAACAGGCCCCCTTTATATAACAATACTGTGGTTTGCTTCCTTTAAAAGCTAGCCCTGCCTCTGTGAATGGCAGAAATCAAAACGTGTAACTTTAACTATGGAAATCACTGGTAAAATGCACACAGGAACTAAGCCACAGCGTAACTGGGGAGAAACTTTTAGAGGGCAGGTGTTGCTGACATTTGATTTTCCCACCACAGCAAAAGCAAGACTCCATGCTCCTTTTTATTTCATTTCTGCTTACCAGGCCTGAGTGGATATCCTTCTCTCTTGTCTACCGTATAGCCCTGGGGAATGTTGTAGAACTCAGGCAGCCCACCAAACTGCTTCCAGACAGTGTAATAGTTGAGGAAGGTTCGCATAGCATTATCTACATCCCCAATTAGGCTCTGAGAGAGACGAAATAATTAGCAAAGCAACATCTGGGTGAAGAAGAAAAAGCACAGGAATTGATGCATCCACACTCCTATAGTCAAAGCAAGAGATAGTGACAGAAAGGGGTTGTTCAGCAGGTCTGAATGGCATAAGTAATATTTAGGCACGATGCCTTAAAAATGGGTAGAATCATAGAATAGTTTGGGCTGGAAGGGACCTTTCAAGGCCATCTAGTCCAACTCCCTGCCATGAGCAGGGACATCTGCAACTAGAACAGGTTGCTCAGAGCCCCGTCCAACCTGACCTGGAATGATTCCAGGGATGGGGTACTGACCACCTCTCTGGGCAATCTGGGCCAGTACTTCACCACCCTTGTTGTGAAAAATTTCTTCTACATATCTAGTCTAAAAGGATAGGGCTAAGGAGATAGGTGCTGCTTTTCTGTTGGATCACATTCTGCACACCTAAATAATAGGAAGTTTCTTTAATTTTTAGTAAACCAAAGGCTGGGTTTTTTCAGTCAACATTTTTTTTTACTCAATCACAGTATCCAGTCTATTTCAGTGGGGATAACAAAGTCCCAGTAAGTACTGATGGGAAAGCATTCACACAAACAAAACATGTATGAGGTGGTGGAAAAAGAGGTGTGGGTTTTTTGGGGTTTTTTTTTTTTTTTTTCATTTTCCTTATGTTCCCTTCCGGATTATGAGACCACTGTCAGTGGAGTTTGCTACTACAAAACTGCCCTCCCATCATGCTTAAGGGAGACTTTTTTTTTTATAGACCATAGATAAAGGCAACATCTGCTCTTCTACAGGCTCAGACTAGTGTAGATTTCACAAGATATCAAAACAAACTTTTAAACCAGCACAGATGAGGCTTATATTTGTAACTTCAATATTAAAGACCAACCCAAGACAGATGAACAAAATCACCACATGCTACTGGTATGACAGCTCTTACCTGTAAGCCTGGCCAGTAAGCCTCCAGGGACTGAAAAACAGGCATGGACACTGTTCCTTTGTACATCTGAACCCAGAGGTACCAATCATCAAACTTTGTGTAATTTTTGATAGCTTTGTTATATTCTATAAAGAAACATAGACAGGTAGGTAATCCAACAAAAAAAAAATCTTTTTTTAAGAATGAGAGAAGCCCCTTTTTCCTTTGAGCCATGTCAAATGAACGACTTCTCAGGATGCTCACGTCGGTAACTCTTTGTTATCACAGATTGTTCAAAAGTACTACAGCAAGTGCTTCAGGAACAGTCTTGAATGTACCCCATTAGATTCTTCATCTTCTTCCAAAGTCCCACAGTTTTTACAGGTGCAGTCA